CAACACAGGCATAAAAGTCAACGGCAGCAAGTGCTTGGGAATATAACTTTGCCAGCGAATATAGCTAGTTAGTTATGTGTGCGTGTGCGTGTGTGTGTATGTATATGTATGTGTGTTGCGGGAGGGTTTTGTGGGTGTATGTCATGCATCAAACTTTAACATAAACTTCGTTGCCGCATCCGTATCCGCTGCCTCCGCCAACGATGGCGGCTCTCTAACATAGTCTGTTTCAACTTAATTTTCTTCTGAGAAGTTTTCTGCAAGTGTGCGTGTGATATGTTCTGCATGTGTGTGTGTGCGTGTGTGTGCATGTGTGTGCGTGTAGGTGCTGCTTGTAGCTACTTAAGCGACATGCCACTGTTACAGTCCCTACTGCTGCTGCTGCTACTGTTACTGCTGCTGCTGTCGCTAGCATTTTGTTGTAATCTAGCGTAAAAAATGAATTATGTGCACATGCATTTCTTATATACTGCTGCGAAAAGAGTCTACGTTCCACGCGACACCCAACCGCCAACCCCCGACCCCTCCAGCACCCCCCCCCCCCCCCCCCCCCCACACATCGCGCAACACATCCGGCATGGTCCCGCCTCGCTGCCATTTAAGCCGTTGAGTAATGAGCAAATGAAATCCGGCTGCTTATCTTTGTGCATACAAGCAGCGCCTCTTTGCGGCCGCTTTGTGTGTCTCAGCAGCACATTAAGTCCTCATCTTCTTTTCCCTCAACTTATAGCAGTATACACAACTTTTATTATGACCCACTTCAATAGCACTCGTTTCCCTCAATCTCTTTCTCCCTCTTGCTCGCTTTCTCTATATCTGTCCTTAGAATCGCAAAAACTTCATTTCATATGCATTTAAAGAAATGGCACAGGTAAATGGGATTACCACATGCATCTTCAGTAGCTGATCAAGTATATCAATGCATTTAGATGTTAATAGATGTTTTTTACATAGAGCTCGAAAATGGCACCTATCATAAAAAGTCAGACCATTACACGACTCCGATCTACTCTGTTCTATGGATTCGATAATGACACTACGACTATCGCTGTCATTGGATGGGACAATATTAAAAGTTTTGCAATGCTTATCAGCCTAATTATTCAAATTTCTCTGTCTTTCAGTTATGTCAGAGATATACAGCTACTCTAATATTCTTAATAAAGGAGTAAAAGCAACAATAGTATCCATTATTCGCCATTTAATTACCATAATTTAGATAGATTAAAGCAAATGCCCAAAATGATGCCCAAAAAGGGTACTGAACTAATGTATAAAAACTTCATATTATTTTTTAGACGTGATTATTGCTTACCATCATTCATATTGGCATTCCATTTGTAAGCCGATTAGTACAACTACAAGCCAAAAGTCAACTTACCGCCCTCTAAGCCTGCTCCTGATGTAGCGCTTTTAGCGAGCTGGCCAGCACACAAAATATTCAATTAACTTTTCGATTTATCATTGCTGCGCACATTAAAGTACTTAGAAGCATTTCACACATATGCACATATGCGTACACAACAAAATTGTTGTCTGCAGAGCACCCTAAAAGCCAAATGTTTTATGATTTTCCAATGCCATTTTTATATACATTTTTAGTGGACATCAGCGACAGAAACCGACCAATCCGAGCGATAAAACTGGCAGCACAACACTCGCATTTGCCGCAGTCAAGTTTTGACAAGAAAAACTGCAAACTCGAAATCAATAAATCATATGATGGCATCCAAAGAACTCAACTAAGCCAAACTGAAACTACATTGAAACTGCGAACCCATTGGCGTGACACCCGCTGGCAGGGCAGGCTGTGTACCACATATAGTTTCAATATTTGAATTCAATTTAATGGCAGCTAATTGAAAAAATAGTGAACTGAGCCCAAATTGCGGCAACAATACATCAGAGTTTTCAACAAAGGGATCACATTTGAATACCCTTGGAAAAAAAAGGAACAGAAGCTGGCATGTACAGCCCTAGGAGTTATACTGTAATAATAAAATTAATAACAGTAATAAAAATAATAATAATAATAATAATAATAATAATAAAAATAATAATTAATAATAATAAAAATAATAATAATAATAATAATAATAATAATAATAATAATAAGATAAATAACATCAATTTTAATAATAAGGAAGAAACACGCTCAATAATAAGTGGGAAATTAACTTATGCCACTTCGGCCCACTCATTCAACCCCAGTTTACGTTTAAATTTGAAATAAATTAAAAAATATGTAAGAGGGCTCAAATATTCAACCATTTGACCAAACCAGTTACTGTACCAAACTAGATTTAGCTTAGTTATATAGAAAAAATATATCTAGCCTCTTTCAAGAAAATTCAGCCACATTTCTATAAATATAGAAACATTATACTTGGGTTAGAAGGCAGCAGCTGGGTAGAGTTTTTCTAATCAGTTCAGATCAAAACTCATTAGCAAGAGTACAGATTCCCTTTGTCTGGGAGGTCGAGCAATTGATTTTCATTTAGAGTTACATTCTCCATATGTTCTATCTAAATAAAAGTAAAGGGTATTACCGAGTCAAGTGCTTTCGACTGAAGCATTTTGAATTTTTTTTCCCCTTTTTTTTTGTCCAAAGTGCTAACAATTTTTTGTATACTGGTCAATGGACACGGCTGACTAGGTCATGTGAGCCATATGCATATCCATGGGAGTTTAGGTGTACATATGTGTGTGTGTGTGAGTGTCAGCTGTGTGTGTCTATCCCGGGTGTTGAGTTATTTGCACGTTTTGATAAGTGGATTTAACAATCAACAGCAAGCGCAAAGTGCAAAAAGATAAAATGAATTGATTTTTTCCGTATAGAGGTTGATCAAAGAGTCAGTGCATTTTTCTTTCTGCAAGCCAATCCAAAATATCAAAAAGATTCGAATCAGAATGTTCTATTCCATTATATCAATGAATATTTAAATTATTTCGTTAAATCTTATCTTATTCTATTCTTCATTCTTGCAAGCTTATAAATTATTCATTAAAATGAAATACATTCACAGAATATGCATAAATTCAAATTTAAGAAAACACATATTTCATTTCTTAAATCAGAGCAAATGTGACTCAATTTATAGACTACAAAACTATTATTTTTACTAGTTACTTTAAATTTCATGAAATTTGTTCAATCTACTGTGAAATTTTGAATAAAATTTTCTCAAAAGTTCTATTGTTATTAATTCTAGACCTTAAGCAATAAATGTAAGCTTTTCATACTAGAAAGAAAGAAAAAGTTCTTTCTCGTTTAGAATGGGTTTAATTTAAAATGTCATTGAAATGTGCTGCTGAGCATATTAATTTATATATATTGGGCATCTGTTTGTGTTTAATATAAATCTTAACTAAAAGGTATTTTGAATATGATAGCATAGTATATTTTCCTTTCTTTTTTAACTGGATCTCGAACAGAATCTGTTTCCCAAAAACAAAGAAAAGGCTTTTACATCGCATATTTAGATATAGGATTTAATCAAGTGTAATCTAACAGTTTAACCAATTGTAGACTTATTGGCATGGCGAAGAATCAGTTTGACCCGGTAAACATTATGCGCTTTACAAGTATATTATAAAATATGGTCCATGGTATTGCAAACAAATTGGCGCACAAATAAAGCAGCTAAAAGATATTGAAAAATGTCGTTGTTGTTGGCATTTGCAAAATCACACAAGACGTGACCAGAAATTAAATGTTTGTAGCACAGATGAAGCTTTATAAAAATTTCATAAAAATGAAAAATAAATCCCCTAAAAGACCCAAGCCAAAATGTATGCGCACATATTTACGACTACAACAACAGCAAAAAAAATAAAGAATACTGCTACTATTACATAATACATATAGTATTATGCATAGGTTGGGTTGGGTAGTAGTAGTAGTAGTAGTAGCTGAAAAAAGCGATGCATATACATCATATATATAACATATTTTAATATGCTTTATAAGCGGCCGGTGAACTGAAGCGCAAGTTGTGCGAATGCCAGTTGCAGGTGATTCATAAATTCGTCAAAAAATCCGCACTGCAAGTTGTTGGCTTTATTGTTAGACCCCCTGGCTGGCAAAAGTGAGAAGCTCTGCCAATAACACGGCCATGTCCCAGTCGCTTGGCCATTTCGCAACCACCAAAAAGCCAATGTAAGGAATGGCTACACTGTGGCACAGCTCGCAATGTCGCTGTAGTTTTGTAGCATTTCGCACACTTCAGTGCATAAATAGCTAATATTGCTGAGTGCGTAGTCAACACACACACACACACAGACACACACACACCCACACACACAAACCCACAACACTCACGCACAGCCACTGTATAGAAAGTGCATTACATGCAATCAAACAGTCTTGCTGAAAAATTTCTACTCCTCAACAGTCTGTGTTCCAAGCTGAAGAAACATATTGAAATAACAACAACAACAACAAATAAAATATAACTGAAAAACTCATAAAGCACAACTTTTGCCCAGCCAAAAGCGTTAAATGTAGTACTTGGCAACCGGCGAATACTTCCTACACAGAATGTTGAGCAAACATGCCCGCAAACTAAAAAACATTTATAATTTTTTTTTTCTTTTTTTTTGTTTTTTAGAGTTTTTATTTGTATTTTTTTCGGGATGCCAGCTAATGCACAAGGATGGGACATGCGTTTGCATAATGAAGACCTGGTGCCATGAACGCGCCTTGATCCTTTAAAAGCATACGTTTTGTGTAGGGGATTTCGAGCATTTAATGTACATGCATTTGCTGGCCATTTCTATTTAACATACATGGTACGCAGCAGCGCAAAAAACTTGTACGATAATTGCAGTAGCTGTAAAACACAATGACAAATTCCAAGAAAAATAGTTGATGGATAATACAAATGAATAGTTGATGGATAATAAATAATTTTACAGCCGTAACATAGTCAAAAACTTAAGGCAAAACATGTAAAACACTTAATGAGCAAGAACGGTTTTTTTCGGCAGGCCGCTAATTAAATACCCTTACCCGTAAATAGGATGTTCATAGGATACTGATAAAAAAAACTCGGTAGAACTCCCATATTATTGGTTAATATATCTTCGTAAAAAAGTTCGATCGATTGTACTAATGGCAGCTACATATATGATTTATTGATCCAATCCGCCAAGCTCCGAAATATGTGATGCCTGTAACTCAAAGTTAGACAAACAAACAGACGGACAAAAGGACAGATGGAAATGGCTCAAAAATGTCATCTTCTATGCGTTTCACATTTCGTGATAAAATTAGAATACCCTCTACAATTATATAAAAAAGGCCAAGAACGTTTTTGGTGTCGAGAGGGTTCTTAAGTAGTGGCTTGGTGACTCCTAGACTGTAACTGCAATAATGAAATATCAATTTGTAGAAGAGAGGGTGAGGGTAGCCGATTATTAGCAGGGATCATCAATAGTTTAACTGCCCAACTTTGGTGACTTTGAATTTAGAGGAAATACACAAGTATATACTTTATGTTTTGAGTTAACTATTTTTGAAGCTGTCTTTAAAAAAAAGTTCATACGGACCAAAATATACTCCACTCTGTAAGCAAAGTAAAAAAGTCTTCCACAACATAAATATACGCTTACATCTGTCATGGTGCCTCTGTTGATCTGCAGAAAAACTGTTGCCTTGAGATAGGTAGGATTCTGGGAGCGCATTATAATAAACGCGAGGGCTCTTCGATAGCGAGCATCCGCATAGCTCCAGTTCTGTTTGTAGGCTGCCAAAGAAATACCCGTGCTCTGCATGGGCAAAAAGTAAACAATTTAAAAACTATTTACAGGTGGACTTTTTAAAAGCAAACGCACCGCATCAGCTATCAGTTGTCCATGATAGCAAATTAAATAGACCTGACTCAGCGCAGATATTAAATACAAACTATGCTTAATCATCATAATCGGCTCCACACCCACGCTCATTTGAAAGCTGACAAAGCAGAGGACAAACGAGGAGATCAGAAGGTTTAATATCAGAGGCACACCAAAAACTTTATTGAGCTGTTCGGAGAGTTTCAGCAGACGTTCATGGTAGCGCACAATATCGGCCAGGAAGCGTGAGTCCTCCGACCAATTGCCGCTAAGCTGCTGCTGCTCAATCCTTCTCGACAGGTAGTCAAAATGCATAATGATCTGGGTGGCCAAGGCGCAGAGCAACAGATCTGTGGATACCTGACCCGCCGCCGAGGTGTAGCCTGCAAAGTTTTCGCAGAAAAGCAGCAGATAATAGGTCCAATTGTCCGTCGACTGCCAGGGTATGTACATTCGATAGGGCAGCGTCTCCTCCACGATGCGCGTCTGCAACCACAGCTCGTAAATGAAATACTGCATGAGGTTGAACAGATTATAAGTCCAAATGAGCACAGAGTAAAGCATTGAGAAGGTAAAGCTGATGCGCGAACAGGAACGCAAATAATTATCCAATCGGTAGGCAGACTGAGCTGCCTTGTTGCCTGGAAACAGCTCCTCCAGCTCCCATACGATGTGACTGAGCGCAGGTTTCTCTAGCCACACAAAGGTCATTTTGCTCATGCCCACCAAAACGAAGCCAATATATGACATAACCATGATTGCTTCCACGATGTGCTCACCGGTGGCGAAGGCAATCACCACATATGCCAACTCGCCGAGCCCCGCCAGGCCTAGGTTAATGATGTTGGCCCAAAAGACAAGGCTAATCCAAATGCTGCCAACGTGTGGATGCGATCTTTTCGTATAGGGTTCAATGCCAACGGCCTTATAAAAGAAGTTGGCATACTTCAAGAAGCTATCCATTTTGGCCAGCGGCATGGTCAAGAGCTGTCACTTTACTTTCACTTGAACAATAAACGAAATGCGTGCCCAATGCACGCACTTTTATAGCCATGATATGTGCCCAGATTCATTATGCATGTAAATTATAGTTTACCGTTTAAAAGTTAACTGTTGACAGTTTGCGGCGCGTGGGAGAAATCGGTTATAGCCATCCATATGCCAAATTATAAGCTATGATACGCAGACATCGCATATAATTATTATTTACATTCGGTTGGAGTCCATTTTGTATTAGAAATTCTTGGCGGGTCTCTGCCACGCCCAGCAGCGACTGCATAATAGATCACTTCAAGATAAAATCGACATCAACATCGACACCCTCACACACTCTCACACACACACCAAGTACACTGGGAAAACATAATATACGGAAGGAGCGGAAAAACGGAAAGCGGAAAAGCAATGCCAAACGATGGAAGCCAAACAAAACAGAAATCGAGCAATTGAAACGTTTAAATAAATGCAATGGAAAACGAATCAGCGCATCAAACCAAAACGAAGTCATTTTTCACCAATCGATAGATGGATTCAAAATGGGTAAGCGGGAAACGAATCGAAATTGGATTGCAAAATGGCTACCCCCAAGTCGCCACGAACTGAAGCGCACTTCAAATAAATTAAATCTTCAAGTTTCTTGACAAGCCAACGTACCAAATTGCTCGCATAAAACACGCTAGCCCAATTACAAGTATGCATTGTGCACTGTAAGAAAAAAATTGGTGGATTCTTAAAACTTTTAATTTGTAGTATGTAGATATGTATGCTTGTGTGCATTAGCATGCAGACCAAGCTTACTGGCTAATAAATAAAACATGTTTTATATATTGCCCTACTCTGCAATTCTCATGCATGCAAGCAAAACTTGAATGTTTTTATGCTTTGAAACCAATATATTAACCCTCCCTCGCTTCTCAGTTAATTTATATGTAAAGGGTAATCATATTTACAAAAAAAATATGTTGAAAATTCAAAATAAAAATGATAATAACTTACCTTTTAAACATCAATGATCCAGATGTAATTGCTTGTGTAGTTTGTCACCTTCAAATAACACTTTAAAAAAAATAATAAAATTAATAGGTATTTGAATATAAATTAATCTTAATAAATCAAATGATTGGAGCTTTCATAAATAAATATTATCCAAAACATAGAATTGAAGGTTCTTATTTAATTTAAAATATTTTCATATCGAATTTTAGATGTTTTGTAAACAAGTACAATAAATATTTTAATTTTGTATACATCCGTAATATAAATATATATATAAAATGTTCGATTATTTTTCATAGTGTACGTTCAACCACAAGGCTCTGCTATTCAGTGGACTTCACGCTAGTTCGTTAATATGGTAAAGCCGGGTGATGATAGACCTCAATGGAACGGTGTGCTACGAAAGGAAAGGCAAAACAAAGAGCTTCCACGCAGTGCATGGACACAAAAGCATGGCCAGCGCCAAGGGTCAGTTGGGATTCGGGCCAAAATGAAAGACACAACCGGTGCGCGGAAATAAAGAGAAGGCGTGGCTGTGCGAGGATAGGAAAGCCGCGCGACTGTGCGAGCAAAGGAAAGCCGCACTCCTAATCGAAGCACAGAGCTGCAAGAATGCGCCGCGTTTATCACGCATGAAAATGCAATGTATGTACGCATTTCACGGAGGTTTTCACATTTTCAAAAAATTGTTTTTTTTGTTGTTTTTGTGAGAGCTTAAAACTGAAAATACAATTAAACCATTGGGACGAAAGTTTCTCAAGTGATGGTCCCCGCAGCACGAAATTGTTTTGTTGCACAAATCAGTGCGAAGAAGGCAAGTTACGAGCATTGGGGGCACATACACGGCACTACGAAGGAAGGCGACGGCAAACTTTGCCGAAACTTTTATGAGCAGCAAACTAATTTTGTATGAGTATGAGTACACCCCATGTTTCGCTTTGGATATTGCGCCGGCGACTACGCTGCCCCATGGTGGGAATTGATTTGGGATTTTCCGGCAAAGCATGTGCCAAACATTTGCATACAAAAAGAAAACTAGCCTCAAAAGCAGAGCAAAGTTCAATGCGTTGCATTTTGGCCACTATTCATCTCGTTCTTTCAGCCCTCGTCAAATGAATTCGTAATGTCTAGCAACGGCTGCTATTCAATTTACAATCCTATTGCACTTCATTAGGGTAATTTGAGTAAGACAGTGTCCAACAACAGTCAATGGACAAGTGGCTCCACTTGGCCTATGCTTCAATTTCAATTGCAACCACACAGAGCTCAGAGTTCTCGTAACATGCTAGACATATTTAGCCGTCAATTCGTTAGTCCTACAGTAAAAGAAAAAACAATTGGGACTACTGCTCCAGTCGAGGGTGATACCCTACACTTAGTCACACACCATAAAATAATCTCTCTTAGACAAACTTTATCTAGTCTCCTAATAAGGAACACAAATGAATAAGGGGATCAGTTGTGCCTAAATATGATATCCTTGTTAGTCAACTTTATAGGGTATAGGGTATTAAAAGAAAGTAGGTAAAGCTATCGATAAATTAAAATAATAGAGCATTATACTCTCTAGCTTTTATACTGCTTTCCACGACGCGACGCCTTTATACAAACGGACAGACGATGATTGTGCCAACTGTGGATGCTAATCAATAATTTATATACTCTAATATACTATGTATGTTAAAATCTTTTTATACCCAATTTTAATGGAGGTGTAGGGAAAAAACACACTCCCACTTACACACACACACACGCACAACTAGCACATAATCCATTGTTAATTTTACATTTGGTAACAGCTTCCGCTTGACAAGGCAAATCCTACAGACCCAATGTCGAGTCAGAGCCAGTTGTTGGCCATGCCAAAAAGTAGTTGTAATGCAATTGCTCCCTGAGTGTCTGTTTGTGTGTGTGCGTGTATCTGGAGGTGTCAGTATGTGTGCGAGTATGTGACATTTGACACATTTGCTGCGGAAATGTGGACACCATGTACAGACAGACTGTGGGTGTGTGTGAGTGTGCTTGTGGGTGCTGATGCAGATGTGTGTGTGTGTGTGTGTGTGTGTGTGTGTGTGTGTGTGTGTGTGTGTGTGTGTGTATGTGTGTGTGTGTGTGTGTGTATGTGTGTTGAAGCTGGTTTTTAGTAGCAGCCGCAAATTTCTATTTGATGTGAAGTCTCTGCGGTCTTGGCCACAATTTTGGTTATGGCATAAATACCGAACAGTCCCTGAGCCGCTCTATACACTGTTTTTGTGTGTTGACTTTTTGCCCTCGTATGCAAGCGATTCACACCCTTACCCTCACCCCTGCGCACAGCCGGGCACCATTTAAGTGCTTGGCTATTGATGACTTCGGTCTTTTGTTTTGGCAGCCAACATTTTGGTTAGCCAAGTATTTGCTTGTTACTGATCGCTGGGACGAATAGGCATAGAAATAAAACCGAAAATTAATGCAGCAATTAATAAAATAACAACTTTTGCGTATAATTAATTGTGTATTATGGGCAAGCTTGTTAATGACAGGATATGCATCAATGTAGAATGTCGACGCACACATATTGCGCTTATCGGCCCAAACTGCTGGCTCCAGCTGAAGCCTACAGTAAAATATTACAACGAGGATAATGTCGCCTGCTGTGACGTCCATTGTTGCACCGGATGCCATTCCCTTTGCTCTTGTTGTTGTTTTGTCCATGCGCACCAATGGGCAAATGAACAATTTATAACCGCTTAATTGAACACATTTAGAAGGAAGCAGGACCACACACCCAGAGAGACACACCCGAAAACACGCACTTGGGCCAAACCAGCAGCTAAAACAACAGGCAAGGCTCCAGACGACGTGGACAGGATAGATGAGACGCCTTAGCTTCCTCAAAAGATATGTCCGTAAAATCAATGACAATCCAGCCACATGAGCAATTGCTGCTGCAGCATATGTTGGACAGAGCAACTGCAGCTGGCAGTGGGCATAACAAGGCAAGCAATTTAATAAGCGGACGCTCGTTTGGAACTACTTATATATAGTCAAAGCTTTACTAACGGATGGATACCATCTCTCAATTTTAAGCGTAGCGTCATGAAGCGCTGCAGATGATCGGACCAACATATATGTAGCTATATAAGCTGACATAACTAATGGGGGTAAAACTAAAATGTTCAATATCGGCCAAATTTAAAGAATATAAAAGAATCGGGCCACAAAAACAAGGTTTACTCTTCTCTTATCGTGGATTTAATCGCTTGCCAATTGAGCCTGCGCAAGCTACAGGTAATGTCAATGCTGAAAGTATCTTCGGCCTCTGGCATTGGCACAGCAGCCACCACAACCCCAATCCCCATCACATGGCAAGCTCCTACGCTATTAACTTGAAGTGCGTATTTAGCGGAAAGTGGCATGTCAAACGCAAAGATTTATTCACACAGCCAAGGAGCACCTCAAGTAAATTAGGTAAGTAGCTGCCACCCAATGACGGTATGCATGAAATGAATGCCCCAATGGCTGTTGGGAGTTTGAATGTGGGGCTGTTGTCCATGGCAACTGACTGCCTAAGCCCTAAAGGCGGAAATCGCACAATGGCAACCGCAATTTTCCTAAGCAGCTAACCCAAAACAACAAAAGCAAACGCTATGCAGCAGCGAGAGCATCTACTCCTTCATATTCCGTGAATGGCAAATACTTAGGAACGTAAGTTTTGCGAAATAAGCCTGGCCACAGGTAAGGGCAACCACCTTTTAACCATAACCCTTCACCTGAAGGAAATATTTTGTTATTCCCTGCGCAATGTCGAGTATGTCGACTTAACTACGTGCAAATCTGGGCAGGACACCTGAGAGAAGCGCACGCAACACGCCCACAAACAATTGTCTTTACAACTTCTGGTTTAAATTATACTATTCGTACATATGTCTGAATGTATGTACATATGTATGTATTTATATAAAATTATCAAATTCAAGCATACCAAAAGCTCCTCTGTTGTGCACTGTGCCTTCAAGACAACAGGAATTATAGTTGCCATCGTTACTCCTTATAGTAGCAATAAAGTCAGAAGCCAAACAATTATAATTATCACAACGCAATATTAAGATTTATAATAAAATTATACTAACAGCGCCAACTGTACGCAGTACAAAGCTGACAGCTACAGCACCCGTGTACGATATTAATGACTATCGTAACAATGCCGGCAACATATCGATATTTAAATTAGAAAGCGGCTAACATATTTAGAAGGTCTTGACACGTCGCAGACACGCTTACCGGCTTTTAGGCATTTTAAAGCTAAATAAATTTCAGTTGTAATGCTGCTTTAACATGCAAGCTGTTAACATATTTCTTCTAAACAGATGGCTAGACTTATAGTCATGTTACTCGATATTTTTATTTTTTGCGAAACTGCATTACGTTTAATACAGCAGATTATGTACAAAAATCCACAATTCGATTAAGGCTGCGGTTTGAAAGTAAACTCTAATGCCATAAATCTTAACCAAAGTTCAATGGTTGATATTTTCCAAACACGCTGGCGGCTTAAACACAAAAAGAGGCTACGGTCACACTGCGGACAGCTGTTTTAATTGTTTTGTTTACATTTTAATGGAACGCAGTAGCTGTTGTAGCACAAGTCAGTGCATTTGACACACAGTAAATTCTGAATTATTTCCGCTTTGAGTCCAAAGTCATCAAAGTGTTCTCACTAGAATAATTTACTATTAAAACGACAGTTGCGATTAAGCAACAACTGGTTTTAAGAATAGACATTAAGCGTAAGTACATCACACATATAAGTTCGAGAAGAGCATTTAAAAAAGTGGAAAGCCAGAGTACAATGACTTTTTTATCAGCTGTGTACTATGTGCTTGACCCGCAACCAGATAGGCCAATAATTTTCACTGATAAAAATAATGCTTTCAAGAAATTGATTGATACATGGGTAGACTATATATAGGTTTCTTTAGCTGTGGCCTCGATACAATCAAAAATAAAATGTGCAAATCACGACAGCCCCTTATCGATGCTCATTAGATATGATTAAAGGGCAACTTGCGGACTTATGGCCTTGGCCCTGTCTCCATTAAGCTGTACGTAACTAATGCATTTTTGTTAATTCGTTCACAGTCGCATACAACTCATAATGGGCGTTCAAAGCAAGCTGCTTGATCCGCTGTGCGTTACCTGCCAGGAGTTTCAGCATCCCTGGACGGATAAGTGCGTAAATGCCACGGCGGGCATATTGCTTTCAGCCACGCCCTATTGTTTGCGTGTCTACACAATCGTCTACGCCTTTTCATTGCTGATGCGCCAACGTATACCAACGCTGGAGGACCTAAAGCGCACCTTGCTAGGCATCATGCAGTCCACAGCCTTTCTGGTGACCAATGCATACACCTTTATCCTGTACAATTGCTTGCTGCGCAATCTACTGGGTCGCTATTACTTTGGCACTGTTGCCTTTTTGCCCTCGTTCCTGTCTTCGCTCACAGCCATTATGGTGGAGCGCCCGGCGCGCCGTCCACTGCTAACACTCTATGTTGCCAATGTTGCCACCGAAGCACTCTGGAAAATGGCAGAATCTCGGAAGTGGGTGCGTTCGATGGCCCACGGCCAGACATTTATCTTTGCCTGCAGTATGTCGGTACTTTTGTATTTGTACCGTATAAGTGCCAGCGACGACTCCATCTTCAATATACTACGCATATTTGTGGGCAAAGAGGAGGCCGGTCCGGTGATGAAGTCCGAGCCCCTTGTTCCCGGCGAGCAGCCGGCACCCTCACGCCGACGACCCAGCGTCAGTTTTGCCACGGCCTCCGATTGGGTGCGTGTCTACACCAACCTAATCCGCGCCAAGCATGAGAGCTGCCGCCATACCCAGAGCTGCTCCAGTTATGCTATATTGGGTGGCTTGCGGCCCTTTGCGGGCGGTGTGGCGCTGCAGTTGGCACTAAAGCTGGTGATGAATATGAAAACAATATTCCAAGGTCGTATGCCGTGGCGCAAACAAATCTTCAACAGGAGCACTTTACAACTGGCCATCTTCATGGGCAGCTTCTCCTTCCTTTACAAGGTGCGTGAGGTTAAAATTTTTATTACCTTGATTCTCATATATAATTGATGTTCATTTTCAGTCCATGTCCTGCCTACTGCGCCACAGTTTCAATCAGGATCACGCTGGGTTTTCAGTACCTGCAGGTCTGGTGGCTTCATTGGCCTTCACCCAATATCCAGACAATACAGTCGCCTTGTACGTCATGTGGAAGGCCATTCAAGTGCGTTTTAATCGTACTCTAAAAAAGCTTGCACTCAGTAATTCGGTTTATCTCTGCAGATACTCGCAACCATGGGTCAAGAGCGGGGCATTCTTCCACGCATACCCAACTTTATGCTTTACACTTATGCATTCTTCACAGCTGTGCTCTTCCATGCGGGCATTATTGAGGCGCAGTCGCTGCGACCTAATTACTACAAATTTTTGCAAGCCATATCAGGCGAGAGGTATGCTCTGATTTGAAAAAAAAATTAATATTTAAAAGCATAATGCCCATTTTTAACCTTTTTTAACAGGCTAAACAAATTCAATTTGAGCGCCTTTGATGTTTTTGGCCTAAATACTCAGCAGCAGACTAACGATATGCTGAAAAGCTTGAAAATCGTTGACAAAAAGACGCTACCCGCCTTCGCGTTTGCCTCCTGAGCTAACCCACGGTTAATATAGAACTAAATCGAACTACAGAAAGTGTTACCACAATAAGTCTCAGCACTTTAAGTGCGCATATTTAGCGTGAAATACGCGTCTCTCAATTACCATAATATTCATATTTAACAAATCTATATATATATATATATATATATATATATATATGTAAGTATCTAGGAAGCCTAATTGTACATAAGCCGCTCTCGTGGGCGTGCTTATATCCATCGCGCGTGCAGGTTAAACAAACTAGTTAGTATGGGGTATATCGACAAATTAATTGAGTGTTTTTATTTTTGTTATCAAAGTTTAATAAAAAGCAATTTGGCTTTAACTCTTATTTTTGTATTAAAGAGTGTCGCTAAGAGTGTAAATAATTGATAAAAGGAACACACGCGGGGCGTGCCCAACTAGGAGATACCCTGAACATGCCGCTACAAGAATTACACAGCGGCTGCGTATGCTACCTTGGCCCACGCCGTGGGCAAAGCGTTCTTGAATAACTTTGACGCTTATAGTCCGATTCTAAATATGGCATACAAAAGTGGCATGTGGTGAAGTGATAAAAAGTGAAATATTTGATATCTATGAAGGTATTATATATATAAGGAAGGTATTTTGTATTATCTAGCTTTTGTAATTTCTGATGAACTCACACAGACGGACACAGTTTCTGTTCGTCGTCCTGAAAAAAAATATATAGCAAGTCAATGTCATCTTCTGCCGGTCACATACGCTTGCAGAGAACCATTATACCCTCTTAAACGATTTTCAATGGGTTAAGGCCACAGTCAAAATGCCGAATGTTAGGGGTGATAAGAACGGTGCTCTTTACCTGCAACCATTTGTTTAACACTGTGTGATAAGCTACGAATGGAATTCTCCGAAATAAATATTGTTCAATAATTGTGCCACTACTCAGCCAGTCGATAGTGGATCGCGCGGCTGTCTAGGCGACTCTAGATATAAAACCTGTGCGGTGGCAAAGGTCAAGCTGAAACGAAAGTGTGAATTGTGTTCAAAGAAACTAACTGCGATTCCATATTTAAAAATAAGAAAACAGCCTTTTGCAACCAAATAAGTTGGCATTTGGGTGCAAATTTACTCTTCTGTCGCGGGGGCATTTGTGCGTGCACGCGTTCCATTGTTAATCTTATCATTGGCAGCGGCCAGTGCGATAATCTTGTTAAGCCTTAATCGGAACACCTGCTACCCAACATTCACATATATATAAAATGACCGGACAGAGCAAACTTGTGGACGCAGCCATCAAATGCAGCTGCCATGAGTATGTGCATCCATGGACAGCGAGCTGCTTCTGCGGTGCATGCGGAATCTTATTGGCCAGCATACCCGCCTCCATGCGTACCTATAGCATTGTTTATCTGGCAAGTGGAAGTCGGTTGATGAATAAGTCCCTTCTTATAAAATGTTTACCATTTACAGCTTGCGCTGGTCATGAAAATGCGCATTCCCAGGCTATTGGACCTCAAGCACACGATTATTGGCATTTTCAAATCGACAGCCTTTCTCTCGACGAATGCCTATCTTTTCACGCTGTGTGTGTGTCTCCTGCGCCGTCTATTGGGCGGCTTCTACTTTAGCACAGTTGCCTTTATGCCCACCTTCATTGCCAGCTATGCGGCGCTTTGCATTGAGCGTCCGGCGCGACGTACGCCGCTGGCATTGTATGTGGCAAATGAGGCCACCGAGGCGCTTTGGAATATGCTGGAGTCACGCGGCCTAGTGCGCTCCATTCCGAATGGACAAGTCTTGATACTGGGCTGTAGCTTGACAGCTTTGCTGTTTATGTACCGCCTGGGCGTGCACAAGGGCGCCATCAAGGATGTCACCTTTAAGGCGCTGACAATTCTCATGGGCAAGGAGGAGGAAGGTCCAGTTAAGACGCCCGCAGTGACCACCACGCAAAGCCCGTGCCGGCAGCCGCTCAACTTTCGCAGAATCTCTGCCTATGTGCAGCTCTACGATCGTCTGCGCAACGCCAAGCATCCCAGTTGTCCACATCGGCAAGGCTGCAGCACCTACGCACTGCTGGGCGGACTGAAGCCCTTCGTGGGCGGTGTGGGACTGCAGGTGGGCTTAAAGCTGCTGTTGAACATAACCAAGATAGTCAAACTGAAGATGGACTGGCGCAAACAGATCTTCAACAAAGGCTCACTGCAGCTGGGCCTGGCCCTGGGCAGCTTCTCGCTGATATTTAAGGTAAACTGGGGTTATTATTAATATTACTATTATTGTAATCTATTATTTTTTAAATATTATTCTATAATATTTTTTAGGCAATTTCTTGTGGGCTGCGCAATGTTTGTGGGCATGACAGCGCCAGCTTTGCCATACCCGCCGGCCTGCTGGGATCCATTGGTCTGCTGCAGTTCCCCAACATCACCATTTCGTTATATATTATGTGGAAAACACTGCAAGTGCTCTACAATTGGGGCACAGCGGAGGGGGTACTGCCCGAAATAACGCACTTCAATATGATATTATACTCAGCCTGCACAGCGCTGCTGTTCCACTGCGCCATACTGGAGGCAAACTCTATTCGGAGTAGCTACTACAAGTTCCTGCTGACTATTTCGGGCACCAGGTAAAATAATATATACATATATAAACATATTCACTTAAGCCATGAATTTCATTCTACAGAAATGCGCGTTTCAATGTACGCCCCTTTGAAGCCTACGGATTGAAAAGCCAGAATCAGATTTTCGACACCATAAAGAGGCTCAAAATAGACATGACGTCACCGTTTCCCACTATGCCGCTGACCGTTTAATGGCAACTCCAAATAATAATTTTTAGTAAACAAATATTTAAATTAAAATATATATATAATTGCCCGAACAAGCTGCTATAATTTGAGAGCTTTATGCTTTATGAGAAGGCATAAAATGTTTGTAAAAATAAATTATTTAAAATTAAATGCTTGTGCCATGCAAAAAGTGGCCTTAAAGTGGGTGATCCATCCATCACATGGTAAACGAAGGACGTCGACGGACCACATCCTCATTCTCGGCATCTGGTTGGCCAAATGCAAATGGTAATGGGAGACAAAGGCGAAACGGAGCTCCAGCAGCCGCTCTAGACGTGGCGGCCTATCCGGGCTACTCAATTATTTACATTTATATGTCATAGAAATTTATTGCCCGCCATAACTCACTCGGCTAGCCGAAAGTGCAGCGTTTAAAATTTACTAAAAATAAAATGAAACTGAAACTGAAAATGTAAATGTAAATAAAATAAAATAAAATAAAATAAGGCAGCGCTGTCCTTGGCCCATGATTATCCTGCCTGGGTGCGTGCCAAGGGGGGACTTAACAAATGAATTATTGGCCGGGTCAAATTTAATGCGCCACTTCGTTATGTCTCCGGCCAGCCCAATTTAACCAGAGCCCGCCTTAAGTTTGGCAGCGCCAGTCAGTCATCAAATAAGGCAACAACGACGATGATGGCCTTGTTGCCTTTTGCATATTGGGATCAAAACCAGAAGGAACAGTTACCTTCGGCCCGCCGAAAACTAAATACCCATTCAAATTCCGACCGATTATTTCGATAGTAGCCATATAATAAATCTATATGATATGGATTTGCACAGCTATAAGCTATAAGTTCTAAATTTTGGTCAAGGTATTTGCAAGGAGCAGGATAAATATTCCATACATAAACTCATTGCTCGATGCTTCCTTTAGTACTAGATGATTTAATAGTAAGATTCTTATACGATTGTTTACATAAGAAAGGACTTTGCTCAAAAGCAAAAAAGCTTTTACATATAACCGAAGGATTAGCTTACAGACAGACGTATATTTCGTGATTAAATTAATATACACTCTTCATATTATGAAACAAGAGGGTGTGCCCGACAAGAAAATACCCTATGGAAAACTTATTCTTGAATAACTTCGGTGTAGCTCCAAAGCTCCACCTCAACAATGTTTTCGTTATTTAGAAAAACCGGAAGAAGTATATTAAAAGTTTGAGCAAAATACCGCCAAAGGTTCTCAAATCGACATTCATACAGACAGTAAGCGGATAGAATAGTATGCTCACCATAAATATATACACTTTATGGAAACGAAGAAGTTTTCTTGTGCATTAGCCAAAAACATTATACCCTACCATTGAAAAGAGTATAAAATCTGCTCCCGAGCATACTGCCCGAAACTGTAGCATACTTTTCAGGGCTGTAACTGCAGCCTCTTAGTATTTATGAAATTTATATGCATGCCAGTTCTGTGGGGCAAGGCGCAACATAGATCCAAGTCAACAGCTTGGAAAATACAAATGAAGCAAGTGACAAATCTCATTAATCACAATGAAGATTTTATTTTGCAATGAAAGGAGATGAACATCGTCCACTGTTGTGCCTGTGTGTAAATGGGGGTGTGGAATTATCAGCTTAGCAGTTGCAATTGTTGCTGTTGTTTGTCTTGCTTTTCGCTTTGCCGTCGTCTCGTGCGTCTCAACAAAAAAAAAAAATGCATATAAATTGAATATTATAAATTGTCTCATTCCAAGTTCTGCTGCTCGTTCCACTTACTTACGAGCAGCGTTTAGTCCGTTGCTGCCCCATCTTGTTGCAAAGTCGTAACTTCATTTGTGTCAATCACAATGCTCTTCTTGCTAGTTCTTGCTGCTTTCGACCCAAATTGTAAACAAGTAAATTATGCAAATAAATTAGCTTGCGCTAGTTCGCCTGCCATGCACCATGCGGCAGGGCATGGCTGCACCAATGAAAACGTAAATTATTATTGTAGGTTGCGATATGGTAAACAATTAAACTATATTTATCAATACTAATATAAGTGTTTTTGACTAACAAATAGTTTTGCTTTTATAGAAACAATTCAGGAAACTATATAAAATAAAACTAGGCTAACAAAAACTAGAGTAATCTTAAAATTAATTGATTATATATTTAAAAAAATTATATTGTTTTTTATAATTTAACGAAAAACTAAATACAAGTTTTTTTTTAATTTAACAAGTTTTCCTTAACCCATTGCTTTCCTTTAGTTTGATTCGCCATATCCTATATTATATATTTTCAGGACCTTTTTATTATCTAATCAGTATTTCTACGCAAATATAAAAGTACTCGAAATGCCCAAATTTAAATAAACTTAATTTATCAGACAGAAGTATCGATGATAAAAAGTATATTGCTGCCAGGAACTACAACAACTAAACTTAAAACTGAACTTATGTTTTAAGCTATCGGTAGGTAAATGCTTTTTAAACTTTAGACAAACTTAAGAAAACCAAAAGTAAACAGCCTCAACTTTAAGCAAACTTCTGCAAATGGTATACAATTACCTTCACACCAAATTTTGTGGCCTTAGCTTTTATAGTTTCCCAGATTTCCATTTGCTGCCTATGCATAAAAGGTTCTGTCTCTTAAACAATGTGTATACTTTAACAAAAGAATTCACTCAATTTGACCAACAAAATAAATCAAACTTAAATAGTATATTTAATAACATCTAAAATGAACTTTAATGGAAATGAAGATTCTGTTGTCAAATAGAAAAAAAAAAAAACTAAATAAAAGTAAATAACAAAATAGGTCTGATGCATCGGCTGCATCTATGTTCTATGCAGGTTCTTTTGCCTGTTTTTGTGGACTTTCCTGTTGCAGTAAATTACATTGGATATTTTTACGAAGACAGCCCCAAATGACAAGGTATGTCAACGCAAGATAAGCACTAAGTGAAACGAAGGCAAAGGCAACTGATGTCGGTTGCCACCAGAGGCAGGGTGTGGTCAGTCAGGGGGAGGGGGGGTTCATCGTGTCCTTGTGTCATACAAAAGCTGATATAAATGACATTTTCTTCATCGTTTTTATTTTGTTTCTGTTTTTTTTTTTTTGACTAACCAGCGCTTGGCGTTGAGTATTTTTTAATTAAAAATTTCTTAGTCACTTTTTTCGACTATTGAGATTTTACCATGTGATAAGAAAATTGAAATGCAATATATAGAAGCCACTGCAGCCAAATACAAAATGGGAATAAGCATTAAATATAAGATAATAGGAAAGTACCAGAAGAACTACAATATACGCCGCATTAGCTTAAGTTGGATGTAATTTTACATCCTAAGATGATATTCTGTGGTGAGTATTCAGTAAATTTTTTCATCTTTGTACTTTATGCGACAGAAACAAGAGATTTGCCTGACCTACACTTTGATTGATTTGTAATCAACCCACAACCCAATTCCACCGTTAAATGTGGAAAAATCGTGGAACACGGTCTTATGAAAATTCATTGTTCACCAACCGATTTGCCTTAAATTCATTTTATATATGTTTGTGAAGTTTCATTTGATGCATATTTTTAATAATAATTCACTATTTTTTCGAAGATTTAAAGATTTTTTTAAAGATTTATTTAAAATAACTCAAGTACGTGTAGATTTTCATAGCGGGTCGAAAATAGTTGGTAAATTAATGTCTAAAATTTAAAGCAAAGTATATATATATATACATATCTAAATAAACCGTAAATTCTTACAGCGTAAAATTGGCGGACATTTCCTTAAAATCGAGGATCCACAGAAAATTATCTTGTCTATTATTTAGGAAAACCTTTCGCCTAGAAGATACATAAGCGACCCTTAAACTAATATATTTGGTAACTCCACTTGTTTTGAAGTTAAAAAAGTGCTCCCAATGTATACCTTTTTGTCTACCGCTAAATTATATTCCAATTTTATTTTAGATTAGGATGTCTATCGATGAAGATAACGATAACAATAATTTTTAATGTTTGCAGGGAAGCTTTTGGCCAAAGGTTATGCATAGTTAGATAAGGTGCAGCTCGATGGTATGCACACAGATGATCATATGTCAATTAAAGGCACGTGCTATAAGTACTATCTACAGCCGAGGCAGTCATACCCAATTCAGCAAGTCTGGTATATAAATGGAAGATTAGGTTTCCAATAAAAGACCGTGCTGATTAGGCTGAACTACAAAGAAGTCGTCTATAAATTTTGCTTTATAAGCGTTATTCAAATCTTTGCAATACAAATAGCAAGTTGGCGCTAACTCTATGGGCAGTCCGTCGTGAAGGCTTATCTAAGCTGATATAACCATGTGATAACACCGTCGACACCTGAGACTAGTAAATTGCCAAAGACCAAAGCAACTTGTATACTTAACATTTGCACGTCGACTCAGCAACAATGTTGAGCAACATGAGCAGAACACACTCAAAGCTTTCTGGTGGTGCCTTCAAACTCGCTCGAACTCGGTGCCAGTCCAAATGCCAAAACGTTAACAGGACAACGCTCGGCAACGGCTTCGGTATTTTTTTCCGATTCATCTGTTCGTTACAGGACTCGCACGCATTCGTGACTGCAGCTAGGTACGCATCCTGTGGATTCAACACGGACTCTAACTGGGTTAGTGGTACAAGTTCAGTATGCGCTTTGGCGCAGCGCATGTATTTCAATTCCAGCGTTTGACACAAAGTGGAATTGAAACAGGATAAAACGCCGATGTCAATCAGTGAACGCTGTGAGTGGCCCACGAAATACCGATGGGAATACAACGGCTCGTCAGTAAATACAAAACTTAATACAACTTCTATGGGCCAAGGCACATCAGTTTGGGATAGTCGTAAAAGTCTAATAGTTATTTCTATCAAGGCTGAATTCCGGTCTAACTTCATTATTTACGCTGAGTCTTGAAGCGTATAAGCATTTAGCACAGCCGATTCTAAGCCTAAGCCAAGCTATAATTTTTTTCTTTTTTTCTATTAAAAACTAAATATAGTCCTTTAGCTTTTGGCATTGTTTCAGTAGCCTAAATATGAAAAAATTAAAACAATTTTACGAAATGTATATATTCAAATATAAAATTATTAAAATCAATTAATGTGGTAAAAATTAAATGAAGTTTGACGAACCAAGTCACAAGATGCTAGTTCCACAGTTGTACAATAATAAAGTCTATAAACCGAACCCTAAGACATTCCATTTGAATTGTGAACCGACCCACATAACAAACATCTTTGTTGGGTTTGTCAGATCATGATAACGCTGATTTGATGTGACATAGGGATTTTTTTTTTGCCCAGCTTTTAACTACAATGTCGACCAATTTGTATACTATACCAGCTACAATTGTGCTTATGTTGAATCATTTAGGCGATGTCGGTATAGCCTGCACCTTGGCCTGCTTCCTACTTCTTTTTGTCTTTGCTCTTGTCGCTGTCTTTGGTAATACTTTTGTTTGTACTCATCCTGCAGCAACCCCGCTAGCAGGTTATCATTTCCTTCCGGCTCGAATGCATCAGCTGCTACCGTGAACAGTGCCCAGTTA